CCCCGGGCTGGCATCGCTCCGTGTGTGCCTCCCTGGGGTCAGCCTGGGCCCAGCCACGGCACAGTTGGTAATGGCCATAATCTAAAATACAGCAAGTTTCACCTCCGTATGAATCGTGGAATGGTTTGGGTGGGAAGGGACTCTAAAGCCCACCCAGTGCCACCCCTGCCATGGCAGGGACCCCTCCCACTGTCCCAGGTGCTCCAGCTCCAGTGTCCAGCCTGGCGTTGGGCACTGCCAGGGATCCAGGGGCAGCCACAGCTGCTCTGGGCACCTGGGCCAGGGCCTGCCTACCCTCCAGGGAACAATTTCCTGTTAATATCCGGTATAAACCTATTCTCTTTAAGTTGGAAGCCATTTCCTGTTGTCCTGTCACTCCAGTCCCTCTCCGTATTTGTTGTAGCCTCCCGCCAGGTACTGGAATGAACTTTGCATATTGGGGCAGAGCTGTGGAACATCTGTCCAAGGAGTCATGGAGCTTCCCCTTTTGGAGACATTCCAAACCTACCGAGATAGTTCCTGTGTCACCTGCTCTAGGTGACCCTGCCTGCACAGGGGGTTGGACTGGATGATCTGCACAGGTCTCTTCCAGCCTTAACAATTCTGTGATTCTGCTCTTCCAGCTCCAACCTGAACATCAATGATGTGCTGGGGAATTACTCCCTGACGCTGATTGACGCGCTGGACACGCTGGCGGTGAGTCCTTGGTGTGGGACACTGCCCTGGGACGCTGCCCTGGCCACCCTGGGACACTGCCCTGGCTAGGGCAGCTCCCCAAGGCTTGCTCAGGTGGTGCAAACAGCTGGATCATGAGCTAACAGCTGGATCATGAGCTAACAGCTGGATCAGAAACCAGCAGTGTCACATGGGGTAACAGAATGAGAGCAGTTGGAGGTGGCAGCAGAGATTTCCTGAAGAGACAGAGGAAATTTTGGAGCTCCTCCCCAAGGTTCAGACGAGATCTCTTTGGTATTTGCCCGGGGTGGGTGGATTTGAGCTGCAGCTGCTGAGAGTTGCTGAGAGGTCCATCAGGAGGAGGGTTCATTGTGTGCACAGTGGCTGGAAGAGCTCTGGTTGTTTCACTTGGCAGAGAGGGCCTGAGTGACACACTGATCTGTGTGAAGTGGTGAAAGGAAGGGGGGGAAAACCTGTACAGCTGCTTCTCTGCTGCATTTCTGCCAGAACTGGGAGATAATAGGAGGAGCAGCTCATTTCTGTGTTAGTGCCAGGGCATGGGGTCATGAGAAAGAGCTGGGCATTTTCAGAGACCCCAGCAGTTTCACTGTTCTCATCTGTGCAGCCGGGGCAGGCTTTGTGCCTTCTGGAGTGGCAGGGCTCACTGACGTGCAGGAGCCACAGGGATCTGTGTCTCCTCTGGCTCTTTGGGATATAAAACCCTTCCCACTCCACCCTGGGCTGCAGCAGGGGTGAGGAGCTGCTGGAGCAGAACTGAAAGCAGAAGTGAGGGAGATGTTGGGTTTTACTGGCAGAGAAGTTTGGGATCTGTGTTACGTGCCTGATAATGGTGCCTTCCTGTCCTCATCACCACTGGGGCTGTGCTTAACTTCTTTTCTCACATGTAAAGGTTCTGGTTGCTAAATCTCCTGTGTTTCAGAAGCTGCTGCATGGGGCAAGCCTGTTCTGCTCCCCATTGCTCAGACCAACACATGATGCTTCCCCACTGGGTCTGGGTGATGGGGACAGCTGGCACCTGGTGCTTTTGTTAAAAATGTAGGTATGTCCCAGCCTTTTCATGAGCTCAGGCAAGCAGGAACCTGTGTTATCTTTACACATTCCTGCTCCCCAAAGCTCAGGCTGAATCTACATCTGTCTCTGGATGCAGTGGAAATCAATTCCTAGGTTAGACCTGTGGGAGGCAGGCACAAGGGAACTGCTGGATGTACAGTGCTGGGTCAGGAGCATGAAAGGTTGGACTGGCCTTTGGTCAAATAAACATTCAATCAAACTTCATTGTTCTGCAAGCTGTGTTATGTTTTAAGCTAACCTTTACTCTTGAACTGATAATTCAGGCACTTTGAATACTCAGTGTGCTAAATCTGACTGCTGGGCTAAAATGTGAGCTTGCCATTCTCTTCCCTAACTCTCTTCTGAAGCAACAATTGTACAAACCAGCTTTGTTTTTCTGTAACAGGTAATGGGAAACTCCTCAGAATTCCAGAAGGCAGTGAAGTTGGTGATTGACACAGTTTCATTTGACAAAGACTCAACAGTCCAAGTTTTTGAGGCAACAATCAGGTATGTGGTGCTGAGTTTCTGTCTTTAAAGATTTGGTGTGTGTAACTCACAGTGAAATCATTGATTAGGAGGTCTTTGGCAGGCTTTATTCCCTGAATGGCTCCTCAAGTAAGCTGTTTCTTAATCTCCTATGAAAATATTCCATCCTTTCATATAGGAAACAATTTTAATCAGTCCCGTGGAGCAGTGAGGCAGTGGTTGGCTCTGTGCTTCAGACTCTGCTTGCAGCAGAGACTCAAATCTGTGCCCTGATCAACAAACAGCCCTGGGACAGCTTTTCCCTGCTCTGTTTTTGTTTCATGGACTTCCGCTCACTTTCATTTTCATTTTAGATTAAAAAGACTCTTCTGTGTTGGAAATGGGTTTAGATACTGTCTGAGTTTAAAGGGTTTTGTTTTCTGAGAGCCTCAAGCAGTGTTTATTCCTGCTTCACATGGCTAGGCTTTCTTTTTTTCTGAGTACTGAGTTTATGCAACACCCTTTCTGCAATTTGCAGGGACAAGGAGGTCTTCACTCCTGAACAGATTTGTTCCAGGAACTCCTGGGTTAGGGAAATTTTGCAGAACCAGATTTTGGAACAGTGGCTGACAACAGCATGACTTCTACATGTGTTCACTACTGCTGGGGGAAAAGCCAGGTCATTTTGTGTAGTGCCTGTAAGGAGCACAAAGTCATAATTCTGTCAGACATGACAGCAGTGAGGTGTTCAGGTGAGGAATGAGCCTCAGAACAGACTGAAAACCTGGATTTTCCTTTTCCCACAGGGTTTTGGGAAGCCTGCTGTCTGCCCACATCATCATTACAGACACCAAGCAGCCCTTTGGTGACATGAGCATCAAGGATTATGACAATGAGCTGCTGCACCTGGCTCATGACCTGGCAGTGAGGCTGCTGCCAGCCTTTGAGAACACCAAAACTGGCATTCCCTACCCTCGGGTGAGTGACAGCAGCCCTGGGGAAACAGGCTCGAAGCAGTTTCACCTGTGCTGCACCTTCAATTTTGTGCCCTTTTATGTGCACACTGCCCTAAGTTATTCTGAAGTGACACAGGGGAAACTGCCCTGAGTTGTGGTGATGTGGATAGTACAAGTTGCTCCTTCTGTCTAGTGAATGTTTTCCCTGGGCTGATTTTCACTGTGTTTATTGTTCCCTGTGGGTCAGGAGTCATTTGTTCCTGTGCTGGTTGGTGGAGCATTCCCTGCCCTGTGTCACACAGCAGCAAACAATGCTGTCAGTAACAAGGAGTACTGTAAAGGCAAAGAGGAGGAAAGTGACTCTATTGGTGACTTGCTACTAAAACAATTATATTAGCATAAAACTCTTCAGAAATATTTATCATTCTGGGCTTGCAGAATTTTCCTGAAGACTGCTCAGTGTGTCTCAATACTCTGGGATTCCTGGATGCTGCAGCCTCTTGTTGTAAGCAGATGCAGTTGGCAAGGAGGAGGATGTCACTACTATTGGAACAATCCTAAACTGCAAAACTATAATTAGCACTTGCCTGGCTGCTCTTAATTTCTGGAGACAGCAGCACTGCTTTTCCCCCTGTAGAAATGTGAATTTTCACTTCTGTTCAGGCCTGGTAAAGCAGCTGAGGGTGCTGTAACTTCCCTCCAGCACCCTGTCCCGTGGGGAAGGGGAGGAGCATCCACTGAGGAAGCTCTTGGTTTCACCAGCACAAACTGGGGGCAGAAAAGAAGGAAAAGCTTGAGAAAGTGAAGTTAGCAAGTGTAAAAGAAAAATGAGGCTTGCCCACTTTAGGCATGATGTTGTAAAGCTGGAAGAAAAATGTCAGGAATTCTAGAGGAAAGCTTTCCAAGTGTGCTGGTTTTGTGTCTGTGTGCACATTCCATGCTGGACATTGTGCACAAACACCAGGAAGGCTTGTGCTAAAGGGAGGGAGCAGCTGTGAGCACAGCTGGGGGTGCAGCCTGCCTGTCCCTGCCCACAGGTGAACCTGAAGAAGGGGGTTCCCCCAGACAGCCACAACGAGACGTGCACAGCAGGAGCTGGGTCCCTGCTGGTGGAGTTTGGCATCCTCAGCAGGCTGCTTGGAGACTCCACCTTCGAGTGGGTGGCCAGGAGAGCTGTGAAGGCCCTGTGGAGCCTCAGGAGCAATAACACTGGACTGCTGGGTAAAGTCTGGGTGCTGCTGTGTCCTCATGTGTCCTCACCTTTGTCCCTCTGCTCCCTCTGTAGCTGTTCAGTCACGTTCTCCTTGTGTACCCAGGGCTTGTGTTGAACTAATGGCACTTTGGGGCTTGCCATGAAAAATGGAGTCTGTGAAAGGCTCCTCAGGGCACAGGTTTTCAACTCAAATTTTCCATAAAACTGGGGAATGGAACTGAAGGCCCTGATTTGTGTCCCCATTAATATAATTCAGATTGGCAGATGACTCAAAGTACTTAAAATAACTGCATGTGTGTGGGTGTTCCTCAGATGAATCCACCACTGTAACACTTCATCTGATGTTAATCTTTGTTTCTTCCTCCTTGGGAATTTCTGAACCTGTGATATTGCCAAGTCTTGACTGGATTGTTTCTCTCTGATATACTCAGCAAGCTCAGACTAAACTTGTTGTTTGTTCTGAAAGGAAATGTTGTGAATATCCAGACTGGTCACTGGGTTGGAAAGCAGAGTGGACTGGGAGCAGGGTCAGATTCGTTCTATGAGTACCTGCTGAAGTCCTACATCCTCTTTGGGGAAAAGGAAGACCTGGACATGTTCAACTCTGCCTATCAGAACATTCAGAACCACTTGAGGAGAGGGTATGTAATTCATGTCAGCATCAATTCCTTGAACAGTGGAAACACATGTGTTTGTAGTGCTTTGTGTCAGGCTCTAGAAAATCTGTTCTTAAATCTCCTTTCCATGGTAGTCTCCTCATTCCTCAACAACTGGTGGGGTGCAGAGAAGCCAGACTGCTTCCTGTCCCATTTAGAAATGTTAAAGCTGAGAAAAGTCTGGCACTGCAAAAGAAATGTATTAAATTGGCTGCTTTGTTCTTCTGAAAGCCTCATCTTGCCTAGCATGACTTTTGGTAGAAATTCTGCTGGCAGAGCTTGAAGATATGATCCCTGTATGAATTAACATCCCTATATGAATTAACTCCTCTGAGAGCATGACAGTGTTTGGGTTCCCTTCACAAGGAGCCCAGCAGAGCAGAGCAGTGCCTGCCTGAGCTGTGGCAGTGTGCTGTGTGCTGCCCAACAGAGGCACTGCCCTGCATTGTCCCTGCATTGTCCCTGCATTGTCCCTGCATTGTTCCTGCATTGTCCCTGCATTGTCCCTGCATTGTTCCCTGCAGCAGGGAGGCCTGCAATGAAGGAGAAGGGGACCCTCCCCTCTACGTCAATGTCAACATGTACACGGGCCAGCTGATGAACACCTGGATTGACTCTCTGCAGGCCTTCTTCCCTGGGCTGCAGGTGAGCTTTCCTTCTGGGAAAGGCCAAAGGCCCATTCTAATCCTGGCCTGGGAGTGAGTCTGAGTTCTGGCCTGGGAGTGAGTCTGAGTTCTGGCCTGGGAGTGAGTCTGAGTTCTGGCCTGGGAGTGAGTTTTCCTGCTGGGAGGGCCCATCCCAGTCCTGGCCTGGGAGTGAGCCTGAGTCCTGAGCTGAGCCCCCACCCGTGGCTTGGCAGAGTTCAGTTCAGCTCTGCATTGACACAGCCGTGTGGGGAGCCCTGGCCTGCTCTCTGCTAGATCTGAGACTTTCAACTTCCCTCTTTTAGCCTCAGCATTTGTGTTCTGTGCTGTGAGGCTCTGCTAGAGCTTTTACTGCAAAGAGTGAATACATTAGTACTTTTGGGGGGTTGTTTTCTGTGTGTTTTATGGGGGAAGAGTTGTTTTAGGTGCCACACTCTCATCTTTGCTGGCCTGCAGCACTAAGTGTGTGTATCTCTGGCTGCTCTGGTGCCCAGGTGTTGATAGGAGATGTGGAAGATGCCATTTGCCTCCATGCCTTCTATTATGCCATCTGGAAACGCTATGGGGCTCTCCCAGAGAGGTACAACTGGCAGCTGCAGGCCCCAGATGTCCCCTTCTACCCCCTGAGACCAGAGCTGGTGGAGTCCACGTATCTTCTGTACCAGGTATCTGCCTTCCCTGAGCTGCACATCATGGCTGGGCCAAAAAGCTTTTGTTCAGGAAGTCACTTTATCCCCCTGACCTCTGGCCAGCTGAATTTTGGCAGCCCTGGAGCTGCCTCCTGTCCTGTCCTGTGGAGTCTCTGGGCAGGCACTGCAGGGTTGTGCAATGTTGTTGCTCTGCTGTTTGCTTCAAAAACAGCCTTTTTTATAAGGCAGGCAAAACCAACACAAAACCACATTTTCTAAAAGCTGCTGGCAGATTTTTACAAGGCAGAGACCTGTGACTGCTCAACCAAAATTGCTGAAATAAATATAAGAGCTTTCCTTGCAATCCTGCCCAGGCACAGCTACAATAAACTAAAATAACTGTCTGCCTACAAGGAGGGGATCAGAGAGTTTGAATTTACTGCAGGTTTTCTAGGATTTGCTCTAAAGCAAATGTGAGAAGCTTGCACTGGCTAATCCAAGTCATGCTCCCATAAAGATAAGTTTGCTGTGATACACAAGACTCTGGTACCAATAGGCCTTTGTTGTGTTATTTTTACAGGATTTCAAAATTGCTGACTCTAACTCTTGTCTGTCTTCCTTATTTAGGCCACAAAGAACCCGTTTTACCTTCATGTGGGAATGGATATTCTGCAGAGTTTGGAAAAATATACAAAAGCAAAGTCAGTCTTCAATGTTCTTTTCTTCTCTCAGTGCTATATATCTATATTTTATTCTACAAATATTGTATAGAATCCAGTCTGCCACATGTAGGTAAACCAGAAAACCCAGCCCTCCTTGAAAGCCACAAGTGATGATTTATTTATTGAGCACTTCTTTCTTTCCCATCTGAAAATGAAATTATAGTCCAGTGGATATCTTTATACATTTGGAATTTTATCACTGCCTTTCAAAATGCACTGCTGATGATCAGCTGCTAAAAACTGCTGAAAACAGTAGTTGGGATTTTTCCTAGGGATCCTGCAAGATTATTTCTCCCCTCCTGGTGTTTAGCTGAACTGAGGGATGGCTCCTAAGGCAGATGCTGTTGGATATCAGCTTCCAGTTCAAGACAGCAGCAGTGAATCCTGACTCTAACACTGAGTAGCTGAACTTCTTGCAAGGCTCAGGGGGAAGACAGTGAATTTTTATTCCTTTTTATTAATTGACTCATTTTCTAGACAAGTGTGTGATGTCTGGCCAGGTCAGGCATTGCTGGTGAGTGGGGTTCAGGTGATCACAGACCAATAACCAGTGAGTGCTGCACAGCACAGCTGTTCCATTTGAGCTTCCCCTGGCAGCTGGAATGCTCTGAGGGGAGGGGATGGCTGAGAGCAGGAGGGCTGGAGCTGACCCCAGACCCTGTCCAATGTTGCAGGTGTGGCTATGCCACGTTGCACCACGTGGTGGACAAGACCAAGGAGGATCGAATGGAGAGCTTTTTCCTCAGTGAAACCTGTAAATATTTGTACCTGGTAAGTGTGTGCTCTTCACTGCAAGGCTCTGCACAAAAAGGGCACAGGAGGGGGCAGGAGGTTACTAATTATTAATTAGAAACTGGGTTGGGGATGGGGCATCATTAATGACAACCTGCTGGGCTCTGGGGTTTGTGTGTGGGGGTGATTGAGGCTGAGCTTTGGGGTTTGTGTGGGGGTGATTGAGGCTGAGCTTTGGGGTTTGTGTGTGGGGTGATTGAGGCTGAGCTTTGGGGTTTGTGTATGGGGTGATTCAGCTGAGCTCCTCTTCTTTGACCTCACCCCACTGTCTGAGCTGGGGCAGCTGCCCAGGTGTGGTTCCTGCACCTGGAGAGCTTTGGGAAGAGGCTGGAAGGGAGAGGGAGCAGGAGTGGAGGGAGCTGCTGCTCAGCTCTGAGCTAAGTGCTGCTTGCAGCCCTCCTGCCTGGGGCAGCCTCTGCTTTCTCCCTGCTGGGCTTTGGCACTCACAGGAGAAAGCATTTGGGCTGGCATTGCCTAAGCCCCTGTTCTCAATCTCCTTTAGTGCAGAAAACCAAATAAATCTGTGACTGAGTGGATGCCAGCCTAGAAATGCCTCACAGAGCAGCTTAGAAAAATAAGGGCACTTTCAGCTGTGTGAGAAGTTTTTCTTCTGCTCTCCTCTTCTAACTGCTCAGATCAATCCCTTGCATTAAGACTATTTATTTCCATTTGCTCCAGCATTATTTAGCACTAAAAGGTATTTTTGTGTGATCCTTCAAAGTGTGAGTACCTGTTCCCAGCTGCTTGTTACTGGGAGGTGAAGGATGGGGCACACCTGCAATGCCTGTCTGTCCCATCTCTGCTTCAGCTGTTTGATGAAGAGAACCCAGTGCATAAATCTGGAATAAGTTCATGTTTAGTATTGATGTAGTTCAGTCCCTGTCTGTCCCATCTCTCCTTCAGCTGTTTGATGAAGAGAACCCAGTGCACAGGTCTGGCAATAAGTTCATGTTCACCACTGAGGGCCACGTGGTGTCTGTGGACGAGCGGTTCCGGAGCTCGCTGTGGGAGGACATCCTGCCTGCAGGGGAGCACAGCCTCAAAGCCAAACCCTCTGAGCCCAAGGCAGCCAACTTCAGCTCCAACGTAAGCAACACACTGCCTGGGGCTGGGGAGGGGCAGCCAGCACACACTGAGCCTCTGGGAGGGCTAATGCAGAGAGTTCCCTTGAGAAATGTCAAACACCTGAGGGGCTCCCCTGAAATGCACTTTCTGCAGCAGCATAAATGGCGTCATGTGTGGGATGCTGGTGAAGGTGAAACCTGTCCTCTTTGAAGTGTTTTGCAGCAATTGTTTTGTTCTTTGTTAATTTACTTCCAATTATTTTTCCCTTCCCCTTTTCTTTGCCCTTGAAGCTTTCCAGCATTGCTGTCAGGGGCAAGGGGAGAAGCAGAGGGTCATCTAAACCCAGCTTTGTCTTCCTCAGTGGGGTTTTGGGGAATGTAAAAGGGAACCTTCCTCAGCAAGGCCTCAACTGGCCCCAGAGCTGTGGCTCCAGTGCCCATCACCAACCAAAACAGATGTGGTTTAATCTCAGAATGTTGGAGTTGAAAGGACCTTAAAGATCACCTCATTCCACCCCTAGTGGGACACCTGCCACTACAGCAGTTAAGGACAATTAAAAAATATCTCCTGGTAGGTTCTGGTGTGGCTCCTTCCTCCTCCCCACAGAGCTCCAGGAAAAGAGCATTATTTTAAACATTCACAGTTGTCATAGTGAAGGGAATCTCAGTTGCACAACAAGCTGTGCTGTGTGTTTGGAAGCTGCAGCCTGCACTGAGGAAACACTTGCTGCTCATTTATGGGATTTGTGCTGCAAGTCTGCACAGAACAAGGGAAAGTTGAATGAAAAAGTGTTATTTGGTACAGTTTTCTGTACTGGGAGGATCTGAGGGGATTGCAGAGGGGATGGGCTTGCTTGGGTTTGGATCTGAGTCTTTAAAAAGATGTAAATTTTCTCAACAGTGTAACAGAGTCCCTGATGAGAGGAGGTACCTGCTGCCCCTGAAGAGCAACTACATGAGACAGATCGACAGAATGGTGGGGCTGATCTGAGGGACTGCAGGGGAACTTGGGGGAGCTTGGCATCCTCTGCAGACATTCCTCCCCTTCAGCTGCTCCCTGCAAGGCTGGGTCCCCCAGTGTCCCCCAGTGTCCCCCAGGTGTCCCCCAGTGTCCCCAGTGGACAGCCAGGAGATGGAGCTCATTCCTCTGAGCTGGGTAACCTCCCGTGCCACCTGAACAAACAGCTCTTGTTTCAAGACTTCTATGAGAAATGTTGTTGCAAATGAAGGCTGAATCTATTTTAAAAGAAAAAGAAGGCAAATTGGCCTGTGCCACTTAGCTACCTCCTTGTAGCTGTGTTACAAATGTCCCTCTAGAGCAGGGTCTGCTATTTAATTTGAAATGATCTCGGGGCTTGGGGAAGGAGTGGGGAAGTGCAATTTTTTACACCAAGTTGAACTATTGAATTTTTCTGACTAGCAATACACAACCTAAAGGTCTACTCAGGTAGGAACCCACTGGGTTTGCTGAAACAAAACTGCTCTGTGTACTCTTGGAGAGATCACTGCTGGCAGAGTGTGACATCCCTGGCAGCCCCAGCTGACAGAAGCTGCAGGGCTGTGGGAGCCTGTGGCTGCAGAAACCAGTGATCAAACCAATCCAGGTGCCTTTTTGGGAGGGGGAATTGCAGAGCCACTCAGGCAGAAGTTCCCAAAGTTTCCTTGTTTGCCAAGTTTTCAGTGCCTTTTCAGGAGAGATGCTGCTAAGAACTGGTGTCACAGTACATGAAGAACAAACTATTTCACATTCCTGACAGGATTCATGTGTTAGTGCCTTAAGTTCTCTTCACTACCAGGGAAATCTGAGCTTCCTTGGAAGATGGAAAAGTATTTCTGATGAGTGGGTTGCAAAATACAGTGGAACCCAAAGTCACTTAAAAAGAGGTGTTTGGAGTTTTTTTGAAGATCCTGGAAAAATATCTGTGAACTTTCAGGAAGAAGGCAGTTAAGGGCTTGAGGGATGACAACAAACTGAGGCCAAAACAACTATTTTAAATATACCAAGTTGGGTTTTTTTCCTGGTCGTTGTTTATATACTTCTGACTTTTGACTGCAGTTGAAGTACTAGAATTTCATTTTTGGGTTAATGACTTTTAAATTGAGGCATAAATACGAGGGCAACTTGATCTGCTGTATTTTCACCTTCTTACAACAACATTGGTTTTCATAAACCACGTGTTGCAACTCAAAACATTTCTAATAAATATGAAGTTTGTGCTGGAGAGGTTATTGTTGGAATCTTTTAATGTACAGATGCATCTCAGGGACTTTGTTGTAGAATCTTCTATTCCATGATAGTTGAGTCTTGTATTCAGGCAAAAAAAAAAAAATCATCAAGTCTTCTTAGTGTTATTATGTGTGTTTGAGGGGATGAAGGGTTGGAGGGGGGACAGGGAAATAGGTTAAAATTTCCCAAAATATTGCAATAGAAGGGGTTGCCTTGGTGTTTGAGGCAGCTGGTGATTCAGCTCCTGTGGCATTGGCTTTGCCAAAGTTGTTTCTGGAGTGTCTGAGTTTGTGTTTCAGGGGAAGGCAGGATTGGAGGTGCTGTGGTGCAGTGGGTCAGGCAGTGCTGGGTGCAGGGTGAGGAGGGCAGGAGGGTGCCAGGGGCACTGCTGCCCTCACGGAGCTCTGGGCTCTCAGTGCTGCTCCTGGGCCAGCCCAGCATCCCCAGGGGCTGGGGCAGCTCCCAGAGTGTGGGGGTGGCCAGGATAACCAGGACAGACACCCCTGAGGGTTCCGGTGCCTCCTCCTGCCCCAGTTTGTCCCTGGCTGTGACTCTGGCCCTCTCCCTGTGATTGTGCCTGTGCTGTCTGAACTCCTGAGCCCAGGGAGGCTCCCAGCCCAGCACTGTGCACAGAATCCATTCCAGAGCGTTCCAGAGACAATTCCAGGGCTGGGAGGAAGTTGCACAACTGCTTTGCCGTTGTGTTTTCCTTGTGATTGCCAGGAATAGTGAAAGGTGGTGAGAATGAGAGCAGCCCAGGCAGGAATTGCAGCTTTCCAGGCAAACAGGGTCAGCTTCCCTTGGGAATTGGTGTGGAATTTCTGCTGCCAGGTGATGTGACAGTCATCTTTCCACAGGAATGCTTTTATCCTCCCAGAAGCTGCTGGTAAAAGACTCTGTGTTCCTTCAGGAGCCAACTTTTCTTCCTCTTTGTTCTAAAACTGCTTTGGATATGTTTTTACTCTGTAAGGAGAGGGCACCTATTTGTGCACTAAAATGAGCTTTTGTACAAGACAATGGCATCAAAATGGAGCTGATAACAGTGCTGGAATCATTTGCTGAAATAGACTCTTGTATTTCTTGGTATCATGTGCAATATCAAGTTTTCTGAACTGAAAGTGCCATGTATGCTTAATTGTTATTTATCCATGAAGTATTTAACTGAGGAAACTTGGAAGAGGACCAAATGTGCTTTCATGAAATGTCCTGAATTTTCAACACTTGGCTTGCCTTTTGCAAATCTCCATTAAAAAATAGTGTGTTTGACTACTCTGATGTGTGTTTGTCCTGTAGGGGATCTCCCTGCACCTTCTGTACACTGGGATTTCATCTGGTTAGAGCTGGGACAATTCCATTTATCCTTCCTGCAGGAGAATAAACCCACTCCAAAACAACAGGGCTCTTCTCCCTCTGTTCCTTTCTCTCCATGAGGAGCTGAGAGCAGGGATTGGTGTGGGATAAGTGAAGTGGACTCATGAGCAGGTCCTGACCTCCCTGCTGGGATTCCCAGTCCTTTGTTCAGTCAGTCCATGGAAAACCTGGAATTCTGCACTGAGACCCTTGCTGGGCTCTCTCCAGCCCATGGAGAACCAGCCTGGGAAACAGCTCATGCTGGGTTTGAGAACAGAAGGTGGAAATGAGCTGTCTGACCATCACTGTGATTTATTGTTCTCCTTTGCTGCCTTTTCCCTCCTGGATTTGTTTTCTGTCGGATTGGCATTATCTCTGTGCTGATTCCTGGTTTGCAGCGCTGGTGAGAGGCTGTTGGGGCTGGCAGGACATTTGCTGTGTCTGGATCAGACTCCACATTCCTGGGAGATGTCTGTGGAACACTGGGGCTGGGGATTCTGCAGTGGTTCTAAAGTTCCTCTGGGGTTCTGGATGATGAGATCTTTGCCTTGCTTTACTTTTGCTGCATTCAGATTTCTGGGAGGCAATTCTAAAGTGGGTGTAAAGGGGCTGAAATGCTGATTTTGGGGCAAGCACCCCAGCTCTGATGGTTTCTCCCTGTGGCTGCACATTGATCAGTGGAGTCTCTGTTTGCTGTCATTCCTTAGCTTGTCACCTGCCTCATCTGCCCCCACAGGGTTGAGCAGCTCTGAGTGCTTTGCTTGCAGCTTTTCCAGCCCACATTTCAGAAATTATCTCCAAAAACGCCACTCTGCCATTGTCACTTTCCTGGGAGACTGGAGCGGAGTAAGACCGCTGGTGATGCAGGATTTAAAATCCAAAGATGAGATTGAAAACCCCCATTTTAGGGTGAAATGCTTGGGAGCAGCCGGGTTTCAGAGCCGGCCAGAGGAGTGCGGTGCTGTAGCTCCGGCTGCCTCCAGCAGAGCCCTCCCTTGTGCCGCGGGTCGGGGCTTGGATGGGCACCGAAACCCCGCTGGCCCCAGCACCGGGAAAAGCAGATTTACAGCTGGGAAAAGCAGATTCACAGCTGGGAAAAGCAGATTCACAGCTGGGAAAATGCGGGGTCAGCACTGCCCAGAGCATCTCCGAGAGGGAAAGGACATGGCACTTCTCATTCCTGCAGATGTTCACCTTTATCCGGGTTTGGAACTGCTTTTTGGAAGGGATTTTGTGCCCCTGATCACCTCTGTGTGGTTTATCCACCTGAAAGCACCAATAAATGTTCCCTAGAGCTGCTGTGTGCCCTTCAGCCTCCTTTGTGCCCACACTGATGAGAGGCTGCTGCTTTGGAACCATTTTACTGAAAAGCACCTTTTTTCCCCCAAAGGTTTTGTTGCCTGGCATTTTGCAGGGATGTGGAGGAGGAGAGCTCAGGAGCAGCCCCAGCCCTGCTTGGTCATCAGGGCTGGATTTACTGGGGCCAGGGAGGAGTTCCAGTCTCCACGGGGAACAACTGGTGGGACTGGGAGCACTG